TCCCATCGCTCCTTTTTTTCTTTTTTTTTTTTTCTTCTGGGCCAGCTTTAGCTCTGGCTCTAGCTCTGAGGCTTCCGCTGCTGGTTTGTTTGCCGTTCTATAATCGAAACAATGTATAACTTCAGCTCTGAGATCCCAGCCAGCTATATTTGTTAGAATGTTTCAAACTGCCAGCTCAGAGGCCGGCAAGTCAGGCGGGGAACGTTGGAGTCTGCAGTCCCTGGAGCAAGCAAGCCTCATGTTCGCTTCCAGCTGCCTGGCTGCCGGCTGCCATCTTGGCTGACAGTTAATTTGCATAAGGATACGCTGATTAGCCAATGGGAAGGGTAGCGGTCGTACGCCAATTACCATTTTTCTCTTTTATTCGTGTAGATCAGCATTTCACAAGTAAGACTGTGTAAAATATTAGTTATGTGGGATAGAAGTATGTGTTAATGTGCAAAAAAGTATTCAGAGTAAAAAAAAAAAAAGAAAAAGGAAGTCTACCCTGTATAAATGAGACATTTTCCCCCTTCAGAGCCTCACAGAGCCGTTAACATGGCTATGGATCTGCAAGGGAAGAATTCTCGAGCGTGCTGTGTTTCTCAGGCTGATTTAAACATGGAGGCCACATCACAGCGCATCTCATGGAACTCATATTCTTTGGAAGATACTTTTGGAATTGCTAAGTTAAAGAAAAAATGCTGTTCTTTTCTGACATAATTTATATGCAAACCATGTTGTCTAAGTCACATCTTCACATAGATCTCTGAAGGGGGATTGAAAAACATCCATACTGCATCAGAAATATACTTATAAACCACCTTTTGGTAGGTTAATTTAACTAATGTTTTTCCATACTTTTTTATTCTTCAGATTATTACGTGGATTTTCCCAGTCAGTGTCCTCTAGTCCAAGGGCATTAGGAACATGCCTGTATTTGAATAAAGTTGGATTTATTGTTTTATTGTATCAAAAGAGAATGTACACATTGGGAAACTGGGATGTCTCAGTATGAAGATGTGAGGAGTTACAGGATTTGTGGTTGTGTTAAGTAATTTTGGAGTAAGATTCAAGAAAGCAAGACATTGCAGAAACAAAAATGGTTATTCATTTTTAAAACAGATTCTGAAAAACAGGAAGCCAGACAACAAAAATATGTCCCCCAAAATCTACCTATTCTTTTCTATATATTCAGGAAGCTTCCCCAACACCCCACCTGAGTCATGGGCTGTTCTGTAGTATTTATGCAGTTGTAATAAGAGGTGTTTACTCTTACATAAATTTCTCTTTGACTGGCTAAGAAGAAATTAAGGACTATGTCATTATCCATGACAACTCTGCCTAATAAATTTACATTTAAACCTAGGCTTTTTCACAGATAAAGCTGGACACCAAATAAAGTGAGACAGATTTAATCAGTAATATACTATTGCAATAGAGAAAAGAGTCCAACAAGAACTGAACTCAGTTTTGATTTTTATAGAGATAAATGAATGTTTTCAAAGAAGAATGAATAAATAGAGGCAGTGCTTAGTAGGTCAGGGAATTGAAAAATTATAAAAAGTTGGAAGGGCCGAAACCGGTTTGGCTCAGTGGATAGAGCGTCGGCTTGCGGACTGAAAGGTCCCGGGTTCGATTCCGGTCAAGGGCATGTACCTGGGTTGCGGGCACATCCCCAGTAGGAGATGTGCAGGAGGCAGCTGATCGATGTTCCTCTCTCATCGATGTTTCTAACTCTCTATCTCTCTCCCTTCCTCTCTGTAGAAAATCAATAAAATATATTTAAAAAAAAAAAAAAAGTTGGAAGGGAAGTTTGGTCCATGTCAAACGCATCTAGGTTTGCGAACTGGTGTTATGCATGTTAGGCTCCTACCTTCCCATCGATGCTGGGAGGCAGGGGCCAATCTTCAGCTGTTAGCTGGGTCACACAGTAAATTCTTTTGACAGCCTTGAGTTTCTCAGGCTGTGTAAGAAGGGGAGGTTAGGGTCATCATACAGACGTGGCCTTGAGCTATGTTAATGTTTTATTGGAGTCTTTATAGGCCAAGGAATCCTAGTTGAAAAGAGAGCTCAGAGGAGCTTGGCTGGAGTTTGATTAAGGAAAGAACCTTTGTCAACTCCCAGAGACGTTATATAATTTATGGCTTTTTCCAGGGTCAGAGATGAGTTTTGGATGATCCTTTCCAGTTGCATTGTCTCAACTCTGGTAGTAGCTGACTGCATAGTCGGCATACCTGGGAGTCAGTTGTTAGTCCTGAGAGTTCTCTCACTTAGCAGTGCTTACCTTTTCCAGAGGTTTCTGTGATGATTCACTGAAGAGCTGATGGTTCAAAATTCTAAAAGTCTCTAACAATTATCCTTATTTCACAGGCTAAGTTAGTGTGTGACAGGTGGGTGAGAAGTATCCCAGTGAGGCCAAGACTATACTGGTATTGGGAGTTTAAGAATTATTTATCACAACAGAAATGAGTCTTCATTCACAGGTTCCTTTAGTAAAGTCAAACATGTCCCGCTAAGCAGTCTGGAATGCCTTTGAAGAAAAGGAAGAAACTGTTTTTATCCAGGATAGGCCTAGCCTTTGTTCCCACTCCTAAAGTGTTGGGTTTTAATGACAGGGTGGTAAAAACCTCAGCACAAGCATTTTGTTGAGGTGGGTTAATGCACAATTTTTAAAAGATTCAGATTGGGCCATCTGAGGGGAGGGCTCAACACAAGAAAGATGGTGCCTGCCTGTTGGATGTGTAGGAGGAAGGCTTAACACAGAGACAATCGCAGCTGTCTTCCCTACCTTGCCCCGAAGCCATACCATTTAGGCCCTCCAGTACATCTCTGGCACTCCCAAGCCACTGTCCCTCCGCCTGAGCCTAGGGTAAGTGCCTGCAAGTGAGTGAGTCTGTTTGCAGGCCCTAAGGGATGCCTGGGTTTCAAACAACCTTCGGTCTCAACGGGCCAGACAGAATCCCCACTGATTTTCACAGCCAGTTGTTGTGGGGACTCCTCTTTCTGGCCCTGGTACTCCAGGCCCTACTTCATCATGGTGTAAAAAAATTGTTTTGTATATTGCTAAAATCTATTTGCTAAGATTATTGATCTGTAGCCTTGTGTAGGTTTTTTCATAAAATAAATTGGGGTAAGTATCCTCCTCTTCTATTTTCTGGGTGATATTGTATAGAATTGGTGTTAATTCTTATTTAAATGTTTGGTAGAATACTTCAGTGAAACCATATAGTATTGGCAATTTCTTTTGAGAATTTTTAATTAAGAATTTAATTTTCTTAATAGTCAAATTACCTATTTCATATTGGGTGCATTGGGATAATTTGGATTATTTGAGTAATTAATCCATTTAACTGAAGTTGTCAAGGTTATGTTTGTGAGGTGGTCATAGTATTTCCTTATTTCCTTATTACCTTTTTGATGTCTTCAGTGCCTATAATGATGTCCCCTGTTTTATTCCTGATAACAGTAACTTGCATCGGCTCTATTTTTCTTTTGTTCATCTTGCTATAGGTTTGTCAATTATATTGATCTTTTCCAAGAACCAGTCCTATTGCATTTACCCATATTTTTGCTTATTGTGTTCTTTCTTCTTTTATGATATTCCATGGCTCCTTCTTTTATTGATTCCTTTCTGTTTGGGGAATTCTTTTCTTCATTCTTTAAAGTAGGCCTGCTGGCAACAAATTCTCTTAGCTTTCTATCATCTGAGAATGTCTTGATTTTGCCTTCACACTTAAAGGATGTTTTTGCTGAATATAGAACTCTAGGTTGGTAGAGCCTTCCTTCCAGCACTTGGAAAATGCTGTGCCACTTTCTTCTGTCTTCCATTGACGGTAATCAGAAATCTGCTGTCCAGTAGATTTAGGCCACAGTGTTGCAGGATATTCACGTCAAAATGGACACTAGGCCAAAAGTCTCTCAAGTTTGAGGCTTCAGCTCCAATCAAATAAATTAGTGTATATTCTGTATCCTAGAATTTTATCATGAAATATGATGGAGCACATAGTAAATATTAGCTAATATGTTTTTGATTTATGTTTCAAAGAAAAACTAGTATTTCTCCACACTTCATTAAAACCTGGAAATATGTAAGCAGTGAGCAGGAAGTAACTTTTATGTCTTTTTTTTTTAATCCAGCATGGAGAGAAAACTTATGTCTTTGCCTCTACCCACTTCCATATCAGAAATGGAACCCAATGACACCTTCAGCAATAACAACAGCCACAAGGACTGCCTGATTGGAAAATTCAAGAGGGATTTTTATCCTGTTGTGTACCTGATAATATTTGTCCTGGGAGCCTTGGGAAATAGCTTTTCCATATATGTCTTTCTGCAGCCTTATAAGAAGTCCACATCTGTGAATATTTTCATGCTGAACCTGGCCATTTCTGATCTCTTGTTCATAACCACACTGCCCTTCAGGGTTGTCTATTACCTCAGAGGCTCCGATTGGATATTTGGGGACCTGACCTGCAGGATTATGTCTTACTCCCTGTATGTCAACATGTACAGCAGCATTTATTTCCTGACTGTGCTGAGTGTTATGCGCTACCTGGCAACTGTTCACCCCTTCCGGCTCCTCCATGTCACTAGCATCAGAAGTGCCTGGGTTCTATGTGGGATCATCTGGACCCTCATCATGGCTTCTTCAACAGTACTTCTGAAGAATGGCTCCGAGCAGAAGGGTAATGTCACATCATGCTTAGAGCTGAGTTTCAGTAAAATTGTTAAACTGCGGATCATGAACTACATCGCCTTAGCGGTGGGCTTCCTGCTGCCATTCTGCACGCTCAGCATCTGTTACCTGCTGATTATTCGAGCCCTGTTAAAGGTGGAGGTCCCAAAATCGGGGCTGCGGGTTTCTCACAGGAAGGCGCTTGTCACCATCGTCATCGCCTTGGTCATCTTCCTCGTGTGTTTCCTGCCCTATCATGTACTGAGAACCTTCCACTTGGCTGTGTGGAAAGTGGGTACGTGCACAGATAGGCTGCAAAAAGCTGTGATCATCACACTGGCCTTGGCAGCTGCTAATAGCTGCCTCAACCCTTTGCTTTATTATTTTGCTGGGGAGAATTTTAAGGACAGAATAAGGTTTGCATTCAGAAAAGGGCATGCACAGAGAACAAAGTGCAGCGTTCTTGTTGCCTGTGGTTGAAAAAGGAAATAAGAATGTAAGAGCTTATTAAGTGAGGTTTGTTCTTATATTTCTCTATCCACTTTTATTAAAACGTAGTTTCCAAGTGACCATGTATTTACATCATTCCCAACAAAGGCTATTTCCCAACATTTACTTCACCATGACTTTTGCTAGTAAGACCTACTTCAAAAATTTCATTAGGTGCATTTTCAGTGGTTGAGGCACATGAGGAACATAGTAGGGACACTCTTTACTAGAGTTTTGCAATCTGAAGTGTCAGACAGAGATAAAATGCCAAGTACAGTGGGTGCTACTTTTCATCAGATTCTGTACTAGATGGCCCATCAAGGATTCTAAATTCTTAACTTTAAGATAACCCCAACTTATCCAGCTCCTTCATTTCCTCTTCCTTATTCAATCCCCCCTGAGATATAGCCAATTAACAAAGTTGCTGGAGGTCCAGAACAGATAAAAAAAGGTATCCTAAGAATTTAGGGAAATGACCTTGATTGTGAAGAGAAAGACTATCCTCCAACAAAGCCAGAGTCAAGGTCCCAATGAGCAGTGAGAGAAAAATGGGAAAGAAGGACAAGGGCACGAGAGAACTGGTGAGAAGGGTGGGAAGGAGGAATCTCTCTTTGCACTGGGAGAGGGACTCTAGCACACTGAAGGCAGGAAGGTTCCTTTCTCTTCTCTTTTTCCAGGAGTGATAAGAAAGAGAGGGGAAATAAGAGAAGGACGGAGGGCATTGCGTGGAATAAGGGAGAAGGGGGACCAGTTTTACTTTTGAGATTTGGGCTCTGACTGACATCACTGAAGTTCTCAGTCTTGCATGTTGATCCATTGGGTTGGGGGTCAAAATGGAGGAGGTGGCTCTAAAGGTTTGGTTGGGCGCTCAGAGAGGGCGGCATGGAGGACAAGTTGCAAAGGTTGTGATACCCTGAAATTTTATTAAAACTTTGGCAGAACATAAGTAGGGTGGCTTTCCTTTTGAGATTGTAGAAAAGCTAAGGACTACAACTGCTACCATCATGACCACTGTATGTCCAAAGGAGTGCCCTCTTTATGCTGGGCAGACTGTGACAGGCACTTCACACTCATTGATCCCATTTAATGCTCACACCAAAGCCCTGTGTTTCCATTTTACAGATGAAGAAACTGAAGTTTAGAGAAATCGAGAGACTTGTTCAAGTTCACACAGATCATAAGAGTTAAAAACCTCTCTGACTGGTTGGCTGGGTGCTTGCTTCCTCCACTGTTCCCCCTGAAAACCTCTAGGAAGATTGGTTGAGAGTCAGAATAACAGTTCTCTTCTCCAAGCAGGCATCTACCCTCCCTCACTCTTACGAGAAGACTGCAGATGGAGGTTTTCTCTTCTGATTTGCTGACTTCGGGCTCAGTGGAGGGGGGGAGGGAGGTGGTGTTCTGCAGCTTGGGAGGAAATGCATCAAAGCCTTCATGGTAAACAAGAGCCCCAGAACCCTTCCCTTACTCAGCAGCCAGAATGATGACAGACTTGTAGCCTGTCAAGACAGGAGCCTGGAGGATCCTCCCATGAAAAAACTGCCCATCCCAAGAAAAAAGATCAACATATATAGACTGTTGGGGATTCCCCAACACAAAGGCCAGGGCTTGCCCTATCTATTAACATGTTAAAGTCTCACTCTTAATTATGAATATTCAATGACCACTACACATTGGAGAAAAAGGGTCAGACTTGGAAAACACCAACAAATAAATGAGAAGATAGATAGAGACATTTTAAGTATGAGAGGTCTCAAATTTGTTATCACCTTTGCACTTTTGATCAGAAATCTACTGGAGGATGTGCTTTTCCAAAATAGCAGGTTAAACTAGGATAGAGGAAAACATAACAGTGTAGGAAACAAGAAATCCAACACAGGAGAAAGGTGAAAAGAATTCCCAGGCTGTTGGTATGTAGCAAAAAACCACACACACGAAACAAATTGGTTTGTAAACAATGGAGCGATTTATATTTTTCTTAGAGAGCCTAGGATGAACTAGTGAAGATAAATAGAAAAATAGCAAGTGAAAAGACAATGCAATTATTAAATACTAGGGAAAACCTGTTTTTTTTAAAGAAAGGAAATAATATAGTGCATGGTTTAGCTGTGAATAACATTTATATACAGAATAATGTAAATAACAAAATATTATGATATAAACTTTTTTTAAGAAATGAGGGGGAGAGGATTTGTATGTGGGAGAGGAGGAGTGTTAGCAAACTAAATCCCCATCTCGCATCACAGAGAATATATAACTAAAGCTAGAAACTAATAAATAACTGTATAAAAATTTATTTAGCAATAGGAGCTGAAGTCCAGAAGAAACAGTGAAAAGAACTGACAGGGATTACCTCTGGAGAGAAGTTGCAGGTGAGAGGATAGGGCCGAAACTTCTCTTCTCCTTTTAAGAACTATTTAACTGTGTAACTTGCAAATATGTATTGCTGAAATAAAATAAAAATTAAGTTAAAATTAAATTTTCAAATTAGTTACTTGTGTTGTCTTTTTTTTAAAATGAGGAAGAAAAAAAGAAATCCCCCCAGAAATGGAAATTGAATACTGATAGGAGAAAGAAAAGAACTAGACTTGGATTTGGAACCCTGAGGGATGCCCATCCACCTCTGCCATGGGAGGGGTGTCACTTCCTGGGGCCAGATGTGATTTGAAAGATCTGGATATTTTTTTAGTTGCAAGTAACAGAAAACACAACTCCAAGTGGCTTAAATAATCATTATCTCACATAACTGAAACATAACAAAAAGAAGTTGTCTCTATTCAGTCAGGATTCTGTGAGCCTCCCTCTCCAGGTGTTGGCTTGGTTCCATGGCCACGGCCCATCAAGAAAAAGCTGATTGCAAGCAGCTTGGGGCTACATACTTCTTTACTTGTATCCAGGAGAAGAAACAGAATCTCTCCTGCCCAACTCAACTAACAAAAGTCATAAGCTTCCTTTTGGTAAGACCTACTCAGATCACACACTCAGCTTCTAAACGAAATCAGGAAAGAAAGGATTGCTCTGAGTGAGGATATGAGTCTACAATTAGAGTTGAGGTTTGGGTTAAACCATTGGACACTCAGCTGGAAAAGAAGTAAATGAGGCTCTCAGAAGCCACATATCCTGCCCTTCAGTGAGTTGGAAAGAGAACGGCCAGCCAGCCAGGCATCCATGCTGGGCATGGCCTGTACCTAAGCAGCAGGCCCTGCAGCCAGGAAGGTGGAAGGATGCTGCACTTGAAGAAGTTACAGGGGATTTTCAAATGACAACTAGAAATCTCAACAACTCAACAACGAAGTATAAGATAGTCCACATAAAACTGGAAATGACTGAGAGCAACCAAGGCCCTTGGCATGAGCAGTAATGCAGGGGTTGTAATTTATTAGTGTCCTTAAGTCTATAGTGTGTGTGTGTGTGTGTGTGTGTGTGTGTGTGTGTGTGTGAGAGAGAGAGAGAGAGAGAGAGAGAGAGAGAGAGCACTTAATGACTTATTATTCCTTTTTTCAAGACATTTTCTAGCCAGGGTGAAGCATCACATTTTCTCATCTGGTGAACAATGTTGTCCTTGAGGAAGAAAACAAAATGGGACTCTTTATTTACCAAAGTGAAAACCTTCCAGGGTTTCAGACACCATTTGTTTTTGTTTGAGAGGTTAGGTACCCCCAAGCAAGTACATAAACTGTTCAACTGGGAGAAAGGATTTTTGTTGTGTAAACTTTAGTATAACTGTGATACTGAAACTGTGCTTTATATGACCAATTCTCTATTTTAAATTTAATTGAGCTTATTTGCAATTTATTCTGAAGTAGAAATAATGGCAAACTGGCCCAAAACAGGTTAGGAGGGGGAGATAGGCAAGGCGGTGGCTTTCCATAGAGAACTCATTTTTATTCTTGGAAAAGAACTTGAAAGTAGAGACTCTATCAGGGGAGAATGGGGTGAAAAGGGGGGTAATCCAGGGAATATACCAATGGGAAATTCTTCCTCTGAGGACATTTCATCCCCAAGTAGATAGAGGCAGCTAGTTGAGCCTAATAAAAGTCAAAAGGAGAAATATAACAAGAAAGGGCTTGTTAAAAAGTTAGCATGTATTTCAAAGCTCTAATAAATAAAAAGAGTATGGCACTGGCACACAAATCCACGGAGAGATAAAAGAAACACAGCTTGGAGTGGGCTCTCTGTGAATCACCAGGGCAGAGCAAACAGTGTGGGCCAGGCTGATGAAGACTCAGATATGGCTGCCAGTCAGCCCTGGGACAGGGGGAAGGTACCAGCACAGGAACCCCTGTGAGAACCCCTGTCTGGGAGAAAACCACCCCTGAGTTCCTCCTCTGATGCCAGACAATCCAGTTCCTCCCCGTATGTATCTGGGACTCCCAAAGCTGCCTGGCCCTGGAGCTTAGAGGGATCAAGTCCAAGTAAGTTTGTGTATCGACCCTTTAAGAGGAACACCTGGGTCTCCAGCAGCCTCTGTGCCCCTCAGCCACAATCTCCACTGGTTTTTACAGCCTGAAGTTGAAGTTATGGGGACTTCTCTTCCCAGTTCTGGAACCCTGGGTGGGGGTCTGATGTGGGGCTGGGACCCCTTGCTCTTCACAGGTGTCCTACACAGGGACAATCTCCCTCTTGATTTAAAAAAAACAGCACACGTGGTTGTCGGACCAACCTGTTTCCCACCTCCGCCCCTCCTACCAGTCTCAATGTGCTTTCTTCTTTACTTCTTTAGTTTAGGACTTCCATTCAGCCATATTTCAGGTGGTTCTGAGTGATGGTGGTTCTGTATTTTAGTTGTAATTTTGATGTGGTTGTGGGAAGCAGCAAGTACGGGCATTTACCTATGCCACCATCTTGGTTCCTATCACCTGTATTTTTTTAAAGCTTCACTGGTGATCCTGATGGAATATATTTTTATATTCTTTTCAGAACCTGGCAGATCTCCAACTATCCTCTTTGGAAGAAGTCAAATCATTTTTTATAAATAGTTCTCCATTTCAAATTTAAATGTACTCCAAAATAACCCCTAACTATCTGAGTTCTGTTTCAAGGGAAAATATAAATCAGGAAAAGAAATATGCTTATAGGGAAA